CTGAAGTGAGCATTTGTGTGTGAGCTTGTCTGTAGTAAGCTTGTCCGTGTCAGTTTGTCTGTACTACCAATTAGCTTGTCAGTGTCAGTGAGCTTATTTGTGTGCATCTGTGAGCTTGTGTTTTTATGTCAATGAGCTTATGTGTGTCAGTGAGATTGTCTATGTCTGCATGTGAGTATGCTTACTGTATAATTAAATGTGTTAATCTGAAAGGACCAATTTTTTATTTCAGAAAAAGAAATATAAAATATTGGTCCTTTCAGAGTAAAACATTTAATATATATAATATGCAAGAGTAAAATATTTAATACATATAATATGTAAGGCTATGTATTTACACATACACACACACAGTACATAGCCTTACATATTACATGTGACAATACATGGCGCAATGACTTATGGGGCTGGCGTTGATTTTTTTTTCAGGGCTGCAATGAATCCCCAGTCGAGCTTTGGTGTCAGGATCACAAACATGTATACCTGACACTAGTGGTAAAATACCTATTTAGGTCCCTGGGCCCCTCTCTTTACAGTAAAAATGCTAACCCTTTTTCCAACTCTTCACCGTTCTCGCTGCGGCTAGCTCTGCCTTGCACCACCTTTGTGTCTGAGATTAGAAGATTGGTGATCCCAGCCAAATCAATACTTTCCCATAGGAAAGCTTTTGGAGGCTATTGCGCATGTTCAGCAAAATACAGCGCTGTGCCAATCAGCATCTCCTCAAAGAGATGCATTTAATCAATGCATCTCTATTGGGATCGTTAGACGTCTTTGATGGACTGCCACTAGAGGTATTACAAGGCAGTAATGTAAACACTGCCTTTGCTCTGAAAAGGCAGTGCTTACATTAAAGGACCACCATAGGCACCCAGACCACTTCAGCTCAATGAAGTGGTCTGAGTGCCAGGTTACCCTGGTTTTAACCCTGCAGCTGAAAACATAGCAGTTTCAGAGAAACTGCTATGTTTACATTGTAGGTTTAATTCAGCCTCTAGTGGCTGTCTCCCTGAGAGACACTAGAGGCGCTTCCGCGATTCTTTTGAGTAAATCGCACTGAAATGAGATCCCAAATAAGATCCCCATAGGAAAGCATTGAGTAATGCTTTCCTATGAGCGGGTTTGAATGCGCACGCGGCTCTGGCCGAGCATGCACATTCTGCTCCACTCGGGGGGAGGAGAGGTCACCAGTGTCGAGGGAGCCAGGCGCTGGATTAAGGTAAGTGGCTGAAGGGGCGCCCCGAGGTAGGGGGGGGCCTATTAACCCTATAATGCAAGGAAAACAGGTTTGTTTTCCTGGAACTATAGGATCCCTTTAAAAAGCCTGCAGGAACAGGCTATAGACACCAGAAAAATTACATTAAGCTATAGTCTCTAAAATTGCAATGTTTTACAATCCAGGGTTAAGGGGACAGGGTCACTGCACCCAGACCACTTCATTAAGATGAAGTGGTCTGGGTGCCTATAGTGTCACTTTAAGCCCAGAGTAGCTAAACTAAAAGCATTGTGACTTCGATAATTTTTCCAGTTCAGCTAAAATTCGAATGTACTTTGAATTTTCTCTTTAGTAAATAACCCTATATGATAGTACAGTTTAAATTCTTCCAATGTCATCAGTTATCACTAATTTCTGACATCCTGCTATTAAGGCACTACAATTCCCATAACTCTTCACTGTATCCTTCACATTTGAAAGTATTGCATTTTGTTTCCAGCTACAGCTAAAATGGTCTGTCCAGTTCTTTGATGATACTATAAACATGTACACGCACTTAGTACACTCACCCTGAAGAATTTGTGGTTTGTTCTTCCAAACAATTTTCTCATATCCATATATATCTCAGAATACAATGTGCTCGGTATTAATAACTGGATAAGAAGGGAGATTTGCATTTTTCATGAGATGGTATACTCGTCAAATCAAGTAACATCAGAAATTCCCTAAATTGTGACCACACTGGAAACACAGTTTGGCTTTAAACTGCCGAATCAGAGTTTGCAGTGAAATTCTCGGTTTTAGATAAAGATGTATGTATGATCAAAATACCATGAACACTTAAAAATATTCTTCTTTTTAAATCTCTTTGTCATTCTTAGGCCTACGCACCCCTTGGTAGAATACCACCTTGACTTATGTTTTGCATATGAGGATTTATTGGGCATGTGTTTTCTTTAGAATGTCAGAAAATTACAGGACTATTAACTCAACCATGAATTGTGTTTCTCGCGCCTCTACAATCTGTTATTAGATGGGATTACTAGAGGATACATTCTAATATCTTACCTTTGAAAGAATCTTATGGAGTCAATCTCTGGTGGATCTCTCTTGACAGAGACGAATACGACCCTTTAAAACCCAGTTCCACAAGGTTTTCATAACAAATAAAAGGATTGCTGCCGATGAAGTAGGATACCCACTTGATGATGGACCATGTATTATCCCCTCCTTCCTTCAATATTCCTCATCAGAGGATCTTTCTGTTTTGACTGAGGCTTTTGGTTATTAAAAGTTCTGCGTACCCTAGAGGACTGTATTTAAAAGTGCCATAATATGTACTTTATAATAATGCCGCCTGGTCAGTGCCCCTCTGGCAATGCTGGTCTTTTCTTTGGTACTGGCAGAGTCTAAATCTTATTGATATCTGCATAGATATGAGATCACTGTGTGTGTGCAGTCTCTCTGCATGGACTCAGTAGATATGCTGCAATAGATTTTCTTAGGGTAGTCTTGGTTTGTGACTCAGGATAATGCTTTGTTCCCTTTGTCTTCCTCAGTATAATGAAATGGTTTTGCAGTGTCTCACTGAACAGATGCTGCATGCACTTTTTCTCTTTACAATTCCTTTGTGTTCAGGGCCCAGGGCACTCTGTGTAAAGCCTGCTGCATCTCCGTTCCCAAACGATTTGCAGCTGCAATGTATCTCTGTAAATAAGCACTCTAAAAACACAGCAGTCTCACTGTGTCTACATTCCAGGTGATGCAAACCCTGGTCTCAGAAAGGTGTTGCGGTCTACTTCTCAGCAGAGCAGCTGCAAAACCTGTCTCTGGGAGCAGTCTCTTCTCTTCACCCTGTTAATGGTGTTGCAGTCCCTTTCCTCAGTCAAAGGTGTTCGTGTTTTACCCAACCAAATGTTGCTGCAGTCTCTCCTAGTACTATATGGCCACAGCAGATGTCCTGCAGTCTCTCACAGCAGTCCTTTTCCTCATTAGACGTGCTGCAGTCTTTCAGTGGAGTCTCTCTCCCCCAGTAGAGGTGCTGCAGTCTCTCAGTGGAGTCTCTCTCCCCCAGTAGAGGTGCTGCAGTCTCTTTCCCCCCCAGTAGAGGTGCTGCAGTCTCTCAGTGCAGTCTCTTCCCTCCCATTAGAGGTGCTGCAGTCTCTCAGTGCAGTCTCTTTCCCCCCAGTAGAGGTGCTGCAGTCTCTCTCCCCCCAGTAGAGGTGCTGCAGTCTCTCAGTGCAGTCTCTTTCCCCCAGTAGAGGTGCTGCAGTCTCTCACCGCAGTCTGTCTCCGTACAGGTGCTGCAGTCACCGTCTCTCCGGGATTCAGACAGCCGATGACGTAACCAGCCGGAGGGGGGGGACAAAACATTGGTTCCAACCTCAGCCTCACGCCGCTTCCGGGTTATGTCACATGACTAGAAGCGTCCTTGCTGTCACGTGACCCGCAGTGTTGTGAGCCTGTATTGACCTGTGCATTGTGTGTGGCTGGCCAGCTGGGTGCAGGGTTCGCCTTGCAGTCTTTGTTTGAATGGGGAGGGGCAGAGGACACGGTAAATATGGTGATAAAGTAGGTGAAGGGCAGATGGTGGCTCAGATAGGGGTTTACAGCAGGGCTGGGCCTCTCTCAGATCAGGAATTGCCCTGTCAGTGCTGGCTCAGCGTTATAGGAGTGGTGGTAGTTGCAGCAGGGAGGGAGCAAGGTGGCAGACCTGGTTATATAACAAGCTGGGCAGGTGAAATGGGTGACTACAAGCACAACCTCTGTGTGACATGGCTGCCTGGATTCACCATGTTTCTCTGCTCACATAGCAGTCCATCCTGTGCTGCCTGCTAGCATGCAGGATCCATGGACCTTAGCAACAGAATCAGTAAAAAGAAAACCATGGGTGCACTTAAAGTTTCCTTGCACCATAACCACTATAATGGGCTGCAGTAGTTTTGGTACCTAGTGTATCAATACTTCTAGTCCCACCTGCTGTCTATCTTAGAGATATGATTAGTTAATCTAAAACTTTTTTTCGTTACCTTTAAATATTTCTACTCTATCTTCTACTAGATCCCTACCTATCCTCTCCTGTCCCTACCAATGTACCTTTTGCAAGTTTTAAGTGGGATCACAACTATGAATGTTATCATTTATATTATATTAATGGTATTGTCTTCAGATGGGATGAATGGCAGCAGTTTCACCTGCATTCATAACATGTATTTAATTTGCATACATTTCCAGGATGTGACAGAACAGCCTGTCGTTTGATGCAAATAAGTAGAGTTTAGATTTTTTCTAATTTAAAGCACTAACTGTAGTTAAAAGATTGCTCTAAGCACCATGACCACTTAAATGATATGAAGCGTTCATGGTGCCTGGAGTCTGTATGTGCAGCGTTTCACTAAGAAAAGCTGCACGTCCAGAGATGAACTCATTAGCTGCTGTAAGTGTAAATTCACCTACATCAGCAGCATTAGTGCAAACACAACAAAGTTCTGATCTGACCAGTGTCCATTCTGCGCAAAAGTAGTGTCTGATAACAGCATGCTGGTGCAAGACAGACGATGGGGGTCCCCTACTTTGTGCTCCCTCCAATGAGGGAAAGTGACATCAGTGAAGGAAGAGCGCGCTTTTGGGAAAGTTTAAGCTTTTTTTTATTTTTTTCTTATTTATTTGGGGGGCGGGGGAGGGTGGATCACCACAAAGAGTGTTACTACAGCTAAAACCAGTGTTTTATAACGCTGATTTTTAGTGGGAGTAACCCTTTAAAGGGACACTCCGCTCCCCAAATACAAAACTAATTTTAAAAAATCACTGTTTACATATACTCCCAATGAACACATGCATGCATTTACTTATACATTTTTTTCATTGGTGTTATATCTAAAAAACAGTTTCCAAAAACTGCAGATATCTTGTCTGCTGCTTTTGCAAGCCCTCCTCTTCTATTCTCGCGCAGACTTTCTGTGGTTGTCCACTGGCAAACTTCCCAATGCAGCTGAACAGTGGCAGCTCTAGGCTTTGTGAGGCCTTAGGCGAAACTCAAACATGAGGCCCCCACTAACAACTAAAGTGAAAATAAATAGGGGTTGCATTGTGTGTATAAGGTGGGTAGTCAAACATACTTTTTATCCCGGATTCATTCCCCTGGTGGTCCTATGGATTCCTATCTGGTCTGCAGCTCCGTCGGATGCAGAGCTGCAGACCACGTAGTATGTATCTTGTGATCTCCAGAAGTATCAGAGTGTTCTGTGGTAACCTGCGGCAATGCTCTGGTTTGCTGGAGATCGCGAGACACCTCAGTCTGCAGCTCAACACCTGGAGATGCTGCAGACCAGAGGCTGTACAGGGCGCTTTCCTCCCAGGGCAGACTAAATGGATGGGCAAGACGACGGGCCCCCCTCCTGTGTCGGGTCCTCGGTCACAGACTGGGGACCCGACATGTCAGTCTGCCCTAAGGCAATTTAGGCGGCCGTGAGGCCCCAGTTTGCACGGGGCCTTAGGCAGCCGCCTAAATCACCTAATTAGAGAGCCACCTCTGCAGCTCAATAAGAAGTCTTTACAAGTTCAGTGCAGATAAGCTAACCAATCCAGGAAGTAACAGGTCCTGCCCTCTACTTGAAAAGCCAGTGGGTGTAACCAGTATAATTTATAAAAGTGTCAATATCTATTGAAATCAGCATTATTTCCAAAATGAAAAAAAGAGAGCACACTCTTAACACATAAAGCTTTTCAGCAAGCTAAGGTGCTTTAGGGGTCTGGAGTGTCCCTTTAACCTTTACCATATGCAACCTCTTCTAAAGTGACAGTACGTGACAAATCACAGAGTAGCTCTGGAGGACTGAAGATCAAAGCTTAAATAAAGAATACATTTATGCAATTGAGTAATACAGACGTGGCTTTCATTAACTTAATTCTTTCCACTTAGTTTGCTCTGTGAATTATAGAATATGTGCTCACCTTTCCTTGACACATTAAACATTGGAGAGTGAGCGTAGATTGACTTCTTTGTATACCTGGTCTCTGATTTACTCCCAAAATAAACACAAATCATTGAGCAATGCATTCCTGTGGTTACAGGTGATCAGGTATTTCTCCTTAGAATACATGGAGGTACCAGCCATTACCCATACAATAAGGTGCCAGCATGCACATGGTTTGTATTGTATTAAGAAACAGACGTTCTTGATTGGCCTTCCTTCCACTGCTCTGCAGTTATAGAGAGATTGACACAGGAGTAGCCTACAGAGAGCTCTTGAGCTGTTTTTCTATATGTAGTTTACCAATAATGTAATGCTCGTGTGCTCCAATTCAGTGGGTTTATTGCACCAGTTGGATAAAAGACTATATTTTGTTCCTTTCACAAGCAGGACAGTAAACAGTCCAAGGACTGAAACATTGCATTGCAGGAGCCTTGCACGTCTTCTCTGGATTGCAAAGAGGAACCTGTCAGAGTTCCTATTCCATGCACCAACTACGTCCATTGCTGGTGCAGGATTTTTGCTGCCCTAGGCAAAAATCCATTTTGCTGTCCCCTCATGTCACTCACTCACTTCCACACAGACACACACACACATGCTCACTCACTGACTTACAGACATAATCATTCACTGACATACATACTCACTGACAGACACAAACACACTTGCTGACAGTCAAACACTCACTGACACACAGACTCAGACATCCAGCCTGCCTGGGGTCCAGTGTAAGGCAGCTCCTCACTCCTGTAGCGTGCTGTTTAGTATTCCTGGGCCGGAATGACGTCATATTCCGGCTCCCGGCATCACAGAGGGCACGTGAGGGAGGAGAAGGGAACTGCAAGAAGAGCCTCCCTCGCTGCCCACACTGCAGTTGCCTGCCTCCTCTCCTCTGGCATTCATTGGCAGAGCAGATACTGAAGGACAGCTCTGGGTGCCTTGAGGATTGGCCCAGTGCTGGGGGGGCAGTGGGTGCCCCCAGGAGGCCGGCACCCTAGGCGAACACCTAGTTCGCCTAACGGTTGCACCGACCTTGACCACGTCCAAAGATTAATAACTTTGAACCAGTAGTTCAGCAGTAGCCACAGAGCTCCCTTTTAGCTAAATCAGGTATTTTTGAACATCATGGGGAAAGTATTATATTTTGTTCCTATAAAGTCCCCATAGGAATAAGTTAATAAAAGTTGATAAGTTAATAAAAAAATTTGTGACATCCCTGAGTTGCATTTTCAGCGATGATCAGTAATGCCTTAATGTGAATTGGATTTTTATGTAGGGGAGGGTTTACTGAGACAATTTGTAATGCGTATGTACATCAGGGCTTGACGATTCCATGGTGACTCTGACATGGGACATAACGCCTAGAATTCTTTCTGTCCAGAATGGAAAGACGTGTCCTGATATGATACACCTAGCTACAGACTCTTTACATTTATAGGATGTTATAAAAATCCTACTCAGTCTAGCAGGCATCTTATAATATGGATTCATTTATGAAATTAATATTCCCAACAATTTCAATATAAAACGAGTATAAAATCAGACTTTATACTCCATGCTTTTTACAATCCTAATGATTTATTTAATGAGGCTGAACACGTTGGTCTTGTGTAACAAAGAGTTCCATTAATTGATTGGAAACATTTCTGGTCTACTAATCTAACCAAAACAACACATTCTGTATGTTCCCAATCTTGATCTGGATATGTGATGTCCTGCAGAGTAAAAAGGAAGGGGTCATTCACAAAGGCTTAAACAGATTCATATCCTCTCCATTTTTTCCTTATTCTATCTCATCTCGTGATATTCCTTAAGACCACCTTGCTTTCTCCAGGTTAAAGGGGGGGGGGAGGGGTGTCCTAGAGAGAGGGTAATGTGTTCCAATTAGCACAACAAGACGGACCAGTTACCTATTATCATGGCTCAGGGTAACTAGTCATTCCAGTCCTTCTACAATGTGCTAATCAAATAGAATATATGTATTAGGACCATCCCATGGCATGTTTACCTTGACACAATTTGAGGTGCTGGTACATCGTGTGAATCAAAGCACTGGTTTTACATAGGATCTGGTACTTCTACCTACAGATGCTCAACAACACTTTTGTGTGTCCTTTATACAAAATTACATTGAAGTAAAACTTTCTCTTAAAATCCAAAACGTGTGTGTTTGTACATGAGAAAAGCCGCAATTTTCAGAAACAGAAAGACCATCTTTTAGGTTTATATAAAAGGATTGTCCAACATTGGCCTCCATCTATTGAGGACCTTTGTTTCCCCTAATTCTCTGTTGGAGGTCATCCACCTGCTTGCACACAGTATAAGAAAAATGCACAGCATCAACAGTAAAACTACATGGGTTGGGTTCCTCTGTTTATAAAGAGACGATTCGGCTGAATGTTGATATTCTTGCAGGAATGCAGTATTGCTGCCCAAACCTCTCCTTCTGCATTATTTGAGTTTTTCTTGTTTAGTTTGTGACTCCTCATCAATATCTCAAGATAAATCTTTATATCTCATAATCTATTGTTAGCTGTCCAACATCTGCGGTATTGGGTCAGGAAATGCCAAAAGACCGCACAATATATCAATATTACTATATAATTTATATCTGGTGGTAACACTGAGCAGAATGGAAGAATAGATACACACTTTCGTTTCCCATACACATGTTTCTGCTGTTGATCCAAAAGAAGAAGAAAAAAAGCAATTTTAGATTATCCCACTAAATGGTGTAAAAAACATTTCTTGACTCCACATATTAAATAACTTTAGTTTAGTGAAGCAATTTTGGCATATAGATCATGTTCCTGCAGTCTCATTTCTCAATTCTCTACCATTTAGGAGTTCAATCTTTTTTTTTGTTTCTGTTCATACGGCCCTAGCAACACCTCCCCTGCCTGTGACTCACACAGACAGTTTAAAAAAGGTTTAATTTACAATCAGATGTGACAGTACAGTGTGTTTATTTTAGAAGTCTTTATTTTTATCTCCTGCTCTGTAAATTTACTTTAATCACACATGAGGCTCCTGCAAGTTCTAGCAGGCTATTAGCAGGGGTGGAGATAAGCACTTCTAAATTAAACAGAATGTGCAATAAAGGAAGTTTAAACGTCAGATCTCTCCTTGCAGGAAGTGTTTAGAAAGGCTGTGTAAGTCACATGCAAGGAGGTGTGACCAGAGCTGCATAAATATAGTGATTTAACTCCTAAATGGCAGAGAATTGAGCAAAAATACTGCAGGGGCAGGATCTATAAAATAAAACTGCTTCATTAAGCTAATGTTGTTTTGATAAATATAGTGTCCCTATAACCCCTTAAGGACACCCCTCCCTTTTATTCCAGAAGTTTGGTCCTTAAGCGGTTAACTATCCTTGACTATTCTGTTAAAAACAAATAAGTAAAAAACATTAAGGTGTTGCTTACATATCTGTAAATAATATGACAAAATCACCTCTAAAACTAGAGAATCCCAGATTTATTTATATATTTTATTTATTTTTTTCAAGTTTCTTATATTCATTTATATGTATCCAAAATTGTAAACATTTAAATACTTATATACATAAAAATACAAACAGGATAATTCACATAATTACATCCGCCCTCGAGGTCAGTTAATTTATATCCCTTTTGGTCTTTGCCTCCCCTTCGATCTCTCCATATTCCATTCCTTTCTGACCATTCCTATTGCTATCTCTTTTCTTCCCTCTAGACACATTCATAGCTCTGAGACAATAAACATTCTATTCTCTAATGGATAATCTCTATCTACTTTCTATCCACTCCTTCTTATAATGAGCTACTCCATAAGCACTCTATATTTTGCTTTTTTTCAACTTGAAGCATATCCAAGATTCGTATCCATTTATTGACTTTTGTCAATCCATAGGAATTATTTTTGGTAATACCTAATTCCATTTTACATTGATATATCGTTTGAATTTTTACTTCGTTCCATTCTGGTGTCTTACTACTTCTCGCTAAACCATCTTTGAGGCCATCAGAATATGTGTTATCATCATGCTTTTTTCAGTAGACATGGTAGGCCAGTCCTGATGTAAACGAAAACTCTGTGGGGTGAAAGGCATATTTACTTCAAATAATATATTTATCTGATCTTTGATATTCTTCCATGCATTTTTAAGCGGCTCACACTGCCACCAGATATGGAGATAGTCCCTTTTTCCTGTTTCACACCTCCAGCACTTATTCTGCCAATCTTTATATGTTTTAGAGAGTTTTTCTGGGACCAGGTAACACCTATTTATTCATTTATAGAAATTCTCGACAATCTTTAAAGTGTACCATTTTGTTGACATTAATTATAGCTGAAATCCAGTCTTCATTTAACATTTCTATATTAACCCCTTAAGGACACATGACATGTGTGACATGTCATGATTTCCTTTTATTCCAGAAGTTTGGTCCTTAAGGGGTTAAAATCTTTTTCCCATATCTTTTTGGGATTCAAATTCTTCTTCTTCTTTAACTTTTTTTATTTTTATTTTTTTTAAATCTTTATTTTTCATGTGGAAAGATAACATATTCAGGAAGTTGGCCACAACCGCCTCGATACATCGATTAGAATCAGTACATATCAAATACAAGGCATTGTTGTGTGCTATTCACACACATTTTATATTTACAATAGGTCACATTGTTACAGTGAGGTTTTAAAATCTAATAACTGTAGGGGTGGAAGACTTCTGTCTGCCTAAGACACCCTAAGGTCTGTGGAGTCGTAGGTGGGGGGGGGAAAGGCATTTATTGCTAGGTCCAGTGGCTGGTCCCTATTCTAGGTCGTGCGGCTATAGTTATGGGTGTTGGGTAAGTCTCTTGACCCTTTTGAGTTTGGGTAAGGATGCGGATTGCGGTAGTTATGGGGTCCCTCTAATGGTGCCTGTCTAGGACTATGTCTGCTCCTCTTTTACTTTTCCCTGGTCATAGCTATTTGTAGGTGCCCATGTGTGTGGTGCTCAGGGTGTCTTTGTGGCCCTAGTGGTAACTACAAATCATGTCTATGTATATACATAGGTCGCTGTAGTGTGACCGGATTAAGTTGTGCCCTTGGGGCATCAGACCTCACGATAAGCCTGATTCCAGTCAGGATTACTATGTCGCCTTTGATGTCGTTTCCCATTAACCCAAGGGAGGGGGGGGGGGATCGTTATCGGAGCTAGTGTGCGCGGCTCTGGTGGGCCGCTTTAGCACTGTTATAGTCGTCAGAATGTGAGAGAACTACATTTAACTTAAATGAACCGATTTATCAACTTAAAATATTTAAACTAGTGAAACTAAGGCCTATGAGGCAGTCGGTGAGGCAGTTCGTTCAGGTTTTGGTTTTCGGTCCTCTGCCTATTCCAGGAGTTGCGGATGAATCTGTGCTCGTTGTCCCTGGTCGTTGAGCCGGCTGTGTCATAGAGGTCGCTGCGAGGTTCGATATTCCCAATGCGGTCATCAGTGCCGGGCCCTCTGCGTGGTCGGTAGCTCTGTAGTGCTTGTCATCTTTAGTGACCCAGAGAGTTCCTGGTGTTGCCCATCTATAGGCTATTCCTGCGGCTTGGAGTTGTTTGGTGATAGGTTGCATACTTTTGTGCCACATCAGTGTGGCCCTGCTCAAGTCCTGAAAGAAGGAGAGTTTGCTGTCTTCAAAGTCAAGAGGTGTTTTCCCTTGCATAGCCGCCATTAGCCCCAGTTTGTCCATCATTGATTGGCATCTCAAGATTATGTCCCTTGGGGCTGAGTTGGGTGCTTGTGGGGATTTGGCTATCCTGTAAACCCCGTCGAACTGGAACGTTTTAGATTGTCTAGTTGGCAGGAGTGTGGCCACAAGGCGTCTGATGAAATGTGGCAACTCTTCCAGCGGTATCGATTCAGGTACCCCTCGGATTTTTATGTTCTTTCGACGCCCCCTATCATCTAGGAGAGTAACTTGCCTGGACATTGTTGCTTGTGCAGCTTGAAGGTGTCGCACCGTCTCTCCCAATTCCTGGTAGTTCCCTCTTAGTCCCTTTACCTCCTCTTCTACCGCTTGAGTGCGCGTGGACACGGCGTGCACGTCTAGTTTAAGCACTGCCAAGTCCGCTTCCCACATTTGTCTTAAGTTCTGCTGCAGGCCTGTCAGCATAGCCTGTATGTCTTGTTTGGAGGCCGGTGCGCTGGCTTCTGGCATCCACGCGTGTGGGGTGTTGGGGATTGAGGTGTGGGCTGTCTAGTGATTCTTCCTCCTCTGATGGTGCTGGGGAGGTTTCACGGGGGGTCTGTGCCTTTACTGCGCTTGGGGCCTGTAACATTTGGCCTATGTCGCGCTGCGGTTTTGGGGCGTTTTGGGGCAGTTTCTGTGTTCTGCGCCCCATCTCACCTGAGCTGTGTGTGCTGGGGTACCAGTCCTCAAATTCTGGGACACTCCAGGGCCAGTGTTCTCCCGTGCTGGATTGAGGTTGCCTCCCTGCCCGGTAGGCCTTGCCGCCTCGGCGTCTATTTTTCGAGCCGGGCGTCAGGAGAAACGGCATCGGCGGTTTCAGCGAGGGTCCCTGCGGGCTGTGGCTGATTATGTGGCCGAGATTAGTGCGGGATGCCCCCGATGTGGCTGGATTGCCGTGCGGTAGCTCGGAGCTCCGGCAATGTGCGACCGCTCCGGTCCGGTGCTAGGCTCCGCCCCCTTAACTTTTTTTATTATATCCAAACACCTAGATAACTGTCCTCTCTGTTTAGAATTAATAATAACAGTTCTTTTCTAAATTAAATTCTAAATGTTTCCCCATGAAATATTTAATTCTCAAGTATGTAAAGATCTCTTGACTCTGAAGTCCAAACTCTTCTTGTAGCTGGTTAAAAGGCTTAATTACCGTTTTTAATATACATTCATTAATAGTCTGGATTTCAGCATTCTGCCAGTTACTGATGTTTGTATCCTTAATATTTCCTGGGATAACACTTATTGGCAAGAAATTAAACAATCTATTTTCTAAATTATAATCTTTTTTAAATCTATGCCATACTTTTAAGATTTTACTTATAACCAACTCAGTTTCTGTATCAGCTTCAGTATTTTCAATTTTTCTTATTGTCCATAGTATTACTGAGACACTATCTACTCCCACCATTTCGGACTCTATCTGATACCAGTCTTCCTTTTTATTATCTTCGCTTTAAGTAGTGAAGGCATGTGCCAACCTACAAGCGTTATGATAATCTATTATATTTGGAACTGCTAATCCCCCCTCTTTTATTTTCTTTGATAGTATTTTTAAATTTATTCTGGGTTTCTTCCCTTTGCAAATTAACTTTGAGAAAGCTGTCTGTATCATTTTTAACCACACTAAGGGAACTTGTACTGATATCATTCTAAAATTATAATTCCACGTGGGTAGGATATAGGATCGTATCGTATTAATTCGTCCTATCCAGGATATCTCCTTGTCAATCCATTCTTTTAACATTTTATTCTTAATTTTAGTGGAAGAAAATTAGCCTCTATTATCTGATTATGGTTTTGGGGGATTTTAATAACCAAGAATGTAATATTTTCCTTTCAGTCTCTTTTCACCATGTGGCAGAGCAAACCGCTACTCTTTCCCCCTGAGTACGGGAAAACAAATTTCAATGCCGGGTGTCTCAATCTGTATCAGCATGGAGTTTCGTCGCTCAACTCATCCATGTGACGTGCGTGCAACGTCACGTCGCCATCCACCCAAGTATCCCAGATTAGTATCGTTCTTATTGTAAAGAACCCTTTCCTTTGGCATAGGCAAATTCTTTTTCTCAATTTTAAATAGGTGACCTCTTGTCCTTTAATAACATGTTTGTACTGGCCCTGTGTATATCTCTAAGATATTACCATATCTTCTCTAAATTCCTTCTTTTTTTTTTTTAACTAAAGTAAACAAGTTCACATTCTTGAGCATATGATAATTTTTATACATGGCAGTAACTTACTAGCCTTTGCAACTGCTGAGTGACATCACATTGCACATTGTTGCCTAATCTTTACCATAGATTATGTACAAGATATAGAAATAAACTGGAAGATTTGTGATTCTAACTGAGCAGGTAAAAAATGCAATTGTTTTCAACACCCTTTAGTCTTCTCTCAAAGCACACCGAGTGACTACTTATTAATGTTACTGGTAATAGTCTTTTTTACTTTGAATATTTAGCTATGGAATGGAGCAATGACCCCGATCAGAGAGGAATATAGTGAATAGTGGGTGAAATATTCATTCTGGAGGTTTGCTAAGGAAGGTACCAGGAGCGGCATTTTGGATTTGTAGAAGAGGTGTAAAGGAGTATTGAAGACATCCAAGGAGACTGTGGTCCTAAAAGGGAGGTGATGGTAAAAGGAAATGGTTTAGACCAGGCTTCCCCAAACTCCAGCCCTCCAGATGTTCCTGAACTACAACTCCCATGATTCTCAGCCTATTGCATTCCTAGAATCGTGGGAGTTATAGTTCAGCAACATCTGGAGGGCCAGAGTTTGGAGAAACCTGGTTTAGACACTGAGTATGTTCTGCTGAAATCAAGTAAACGCTGTAAAGAAATAATCCCATTTCACTCTTTCCTCATTTGAGCCTCTTATCAGTCTTTCTCGCATCAGATCCCCCATATCATCCAACTTCCTCTATATCAGCTCCCCCATATCTTCACACTCCCTCTATATCCGCTCCCCCTACCATCCCCCTCCCTCTATATCAGCTCCCCCATATCATCCCACCCCTTCTATATCAGCTCCCCCATATCATCACACTCCCTCTATATCCGCTCCCCCATATCATCCCACTCCCTCTATATCAGCCCCCCATATCATCCCACTCCCTCTATATCAGATCCCCCATATCATCCCACTCACTCTATATCCGCTCCCCCATATCATCCCATTCCCTCTATATCAGCTCCCCCATATCATCCCACTCCCTCTATATCCGCTCCCCCTACCATCCCCCTCCCTCTATATCAGCTCCCCCATATCATCCCACTCCTTCTATATCAGCTCCCTCATATCATCCCACTCCTTCTATATCCGCTACCCCATATCATCACACTCCCTCTATATCAGATCCCCCATATCATCCCACTCCCTCTATATCCGCTCCCCCTACCATCCCCCTCCCTCTATATCAGCTCCCCCATATCATCCCACTCCTTCTATAGCCGCTCCCCCATATCATCCCACTCCCTCTATATCCGCTCCACCATATCATCCCACTCCCTCTATATCAGCTCCCCCATATCATCCCACTCCTTCTATATCAGATCCTCCATATCATCCCCCTGTCTCTATATCTGCTCCCCCATATCATCCCACTCCTTCTATATCAGCTCCTCCATATCCCCCTGCCTCTATATCTGCTCCCCCATATCATCCCCCTCCCTCTATATCCGCTCCCCCATATCATCCCCCTCCCTCTATATCAGCTCCCCCATATCATCCCACTCTCTCTATATCAGTTCCCCCATATCATACCACTCCTTCTATAGCCACTCCCCAATATCATCCCCCTCCCTCTATATCACCTCCCCCGTTTCATCCTTCTCCCTCTATATCCGCTCCCCCGTATCATCCCGCTCCCTCTATATCCGCTCTCCCATATCATCCCGCTCCCTCTATATCCGCTCTCCCATATCATCCCGCTCCCTCTATATCCGCTCCCCCATATCATCCCACTCTCTCTATATCCAGTTCCCCATATCCTTCACTCCTTCTATAGCCACTCCCCAATATCATCCCCTCCTCTATATCCACCTCCCCGTATCATCCGTACTCCTCTATATCCATTCTCCCATATCATCCCGCTCCCTCTATATCCGGCTCTCCTTATCATCCCGGCTCCCTCTATATCAAAACTCCCGTATCATCCCCCTCCCTCTATATCCGGCTCCCCGTTTCATCCTTCTCCTCTATATCCATCCCCATTATCAATCCCATCCCTCTATATCAAGCTCCCCGGTATCATCCGGCTCCTCTATATCAAACTCTCCATATCATCCATCCCTCTGTAATCCGGCTCTCCCATATCATCCCGCTCCCTCTATATCCGCTCTCCCATATCATCCCGCTCCCTCTATATCCGCTCTCCCATATCATCCCGCTCCCTCTATATCCGCTCTCCCATATCATCCCGCTCCCTCTATATCCGCTCTCCCATATCATCCCGCTCCCTCTATATCCGCTCTCCCATATCATCCCGCTCCCTCTATTTCCCAGTTTTCGTAGTGTACACAGTTACCTCCCCTTCTTCACAGATCTTTTATTTTATTGTTTTGTTTTTTACTACGTGACCAATTCAATTGTTGTCACCATCTATTATGATATATCTTTTATAGTGAGAACATAAAATGGAATGATGAGGGCCTTTTTAATGCTTTTTCGTTTTAAATATCTTAATAAAATTGTGAACAGTAGACTATACTCAATAAAATCAGACCTGACAGGTCAATGGCTTGCAATCGGTTCTTAGACTATAGTGTGCAGAATAAACTGAAGGAATCAATGTTTCATTTATTTGGTAACTTACCGAGAATTTTACCTAATTAAATCCAAAATAGTATTTCATTTGCAATTCAGCCATATAGGCTCAGCTTCGATATTTTAAATTAAATACACAACTTCCAATTTAATGTGATTAAAAACTGGTATTTAGGGATTAAGTCTGCTGGTGGCTTAGTCCATAAACTGTGAATCATAGTGGATTGAAAATTCAAACTGCACCATTTAAACAAACAGATTGTTTTACATACCCAAAAAAAAAACCTTCAGCTATCACAAAAACTTGGATATAATCACCTGCAATTTGTGGTTTAGTGAATAAGCAATAAAATATGCAAGTCAAACTGAGCAGATTTGGAGAATATGTTTCAGCCCCTCAATTGGACATGAGATGTGTTGTATTAGGACGGGGCCATTATCACATTTGCATTACCTGAAACGATTAATGCCTGTGTGGAGGTAGTAGGGTTTGTTTTCAGACTGACAATCAAATAGATTTGTTTTCTGTAAATACAATCGGTTGAGAGGAAGAAAATGTCTGGTCTGTGCCACTTCATCTGATACTGTGTAAAGAATTCACAGCAGTGCCAGCTTACCATTGCTGAAGAATACGAAAATATGTTTATACATACATTTTGGTTATTTTGACCTATATGGTGCAATGCCCCCAATAATTCTCCACAAAGTCCATTGTGTTAATATCACAATTGAAGATTGCCATCATTTTAAAAACTGTTCATTACCTTCTTCGTAAAAGCAGGTTAAAAACCCTTTCACAAACAATAACAAAAATGCTACAGCTGATATCCTTAAAGCAAGAATTGAAAGTGCTCAGAATGTGACCCTAAAATTCTGCTATCTTCAGCCTATAATTTCAAATCCCGATGAGCATGACAATTCCGATTTCAGTGAATAACCAAGTCTGATGCACATTTAAAACGTGGAACTAGGGGGCAGAGCTTGATCGCGAGCGGCCGCCATTTCACGGAGCTCTGTGTCCCAGCCACAAAAACCCCGAAAATAGGAGACAAATCCTCTCTCCCTACCTGCTACAGGCTGTCACCCAGCGGAGCAGGCGACCGGGAGAGGACCTATGCTGTTCTTCCAGCTGACGAGGATCAAGAGACAGAAACGCAGGCTTGAGGCCTACAAGCACACTCTGAACCCGGCCTCGTTGGATCTGCTGGCGGCCTCACGGGGCACCGGAGGCTGAATTCTTCCAAGACATCCTTCAATCACACCCAGCACAGATGGGTAAGCGGACCCAGAAGCCCCCCCTGGAGCCACAGCCAGGTTCCAGGGATATAGGGGCCCTGATACAGAGAAACCAGATGGCGAAAATGGCGGATCACAGATCACCACAAACTCCAGCAGAGCCTGCACAACCAGACCCCCCGCCAGAACAGAGAACAGGTACCAAGCACTGCAGAGGGGTCGGCACCGGTCACTCAACGGGACTTCCGTAATCTGGTCCAAGAGCTCAAGACGCTTCTGGCGACAGACGTGGCAAGTATACAAGCAGACATTCAGGCAGTGGACACCAGGGTGAACGCCTCTGAAGAGGATATAGTAACACTCAGAGGCTCTCAGACCTCCAAGCTACAGTTCTAGCCATGCAAACACACCAACAGGCCCTTTCACTCCATTACATCGCTCTTGACAACAGGTCACGGCGCAACCACCTGAAAAGCAGAGGGATCCCGCACACAATCATGCCAGACGAATTGCCCCATCATGTGAGGCGCCTGGTGTCCTCCATACTGCCCCAGGCCCAAGCCAAGAACTTTTCAATAGATGGGATTTACCACCTACCGACGGAATCACCTCTACAGTGGCGAGAGATGGTATAGTCCGATGCTCCACTTCACATGACAAAAGAATCCTGATGACAGCATTACAGGGCAAGACGCCACTACCCTTCGAATGGAACAATCTCTCATTCTACCAGGACCACACTGCAATGGGGACGATCCCTGCAACCAGTCACTAGCCACCTAAGAGCAGCCGGGGTGGAATACCATTGGAGATCCCCTAGGTTCCTGGTGGTCAATCATAAAGGGACTGTGCATAAAATCTCATCGCTAGCCCGGGGCATCTACTTTCTACAAAGCCCTGGGAATCCAGAACCCGCAGACCCATCCCGAGCGACACCCCGGAGCAAGAGCAGAAGTGCCCCCAACTACACCGGGTCACCCGACCCTGCAATTAGAAACCTGAACTCTCAAGGGAACTTAACTACCCCATGAGGCACAAGTACCGAATAGTTAGCCCAGTTAAACACCGTTATTCTTTTTTGCATAGCTGACATAACAGCACAACACACACCAGACGGACACAGTTACGTAATAATACAATAAGATGAAGCCTGATGAGATGGTGCAGACAACACTCATAAACCTCAGACCGAACACAACACACACACCCCCTTGGTTAGGGGCACAGGTAGAAGACAGCCTGCCATCACTACCCTACATACAAACGCTAACGCCTGATCTCCCTAAGCTAACCATACCCTCTTGACAGAATACCAATGCACTTGGAGCGGTTACGGGGACACATACAACAACTCAGACAAACACATACGCCTGTAATGTATGTTTATGTACTCCCCAACCATCTTTTTCTCTTTTGTACCTCAAAATGCACTGATATGAATAATTTCAATAAAAAGATTGACAAAAAAAAAAAGTGGAAATAATGGAGAGTGGACAAAGGATGTGTGGTTGAAAGAATTGGAAACCAGATTATCAATAAAGTGTGAATTGTCAGAAATAGAATTTCAATTTTAGGCCCAAATAGTTTAACTGAAGCAGAATTTAATATTTATTGCAATTCGGCTATTCAGGCCAAGTTGAAATTACCAACAATTTACACTTTAGTTCCAGTGTGGCTAGAAATCCCTTGACAGTTTGAGAATTTGTGACAAAATTAAATACAAACAAAATTTCTTCGTGCCAAAAGTGAGACGTTCTCAATCCAAACCTAAAACAGGTCATTAAATTATATTATTGTCTGGTCTATTAAACACATGCCAATGTAATCGTGCATAAGGTGTGAATCAAACTTTAATCCTGCTGTAAGATCTGTACCTGCAGCCTGTGTAGATTAAATCGTTGTGGTGTTAAAGACTCTGCGCATCAGACTGGTTACTACTGTTGTGCAAACATGGCATTGTGTCTCCATATTTTTGGTGAGTGTGATTGGGGGAAACCCCCCCACACGGAGTACATTTTTAAGTCTTAAATTTTTTTTAAAATAATTATATATATAAAAATTAAAGATAGTTCATATTCAAATATATAGATATGCACTAAAATAATCCCACAGATTTAAGTAAATCCAGACATTTACTTGTCTTCATTATCTACATATCCCACAGCAAAGATCACATTTCTAAAATTGTCCAAGGATGCCACGCTGAATAGACAAATACACAGATACCGTATCACTTTCCGAGTCCAAGCTCATTTTTCTGCAGATGTCATTAGCTATTAAACACTACTAGGATTCTCCACTGTGGGGAGTTCAAAGTGAATGACATTTTGGACGTGGATAGCCAAACTGCTTTTGCAAGTCTGCTATTGTGGCCTTAAATTTAAACTTTTATACAACCTCGTATTTCAAAAGATACTGGGCTATTTACTATAGTGAGAATTGTTGGGAATTCAGAGTGAATTTCAAATGTAAGTCCAGAGTAACAAACTAGGAGAATTTGTCTTGTTATGTTGTCTTGATCTTAAATTTAAAATTCATCTGGAATTCCCGTCAATTCTCATTTTAGAGGATATCCCAGATATGAAGTTATGGATTGTCATTAAGAAACATTTTAAACAGGCGATCACTGCTTAGAACGTCTGCAGAAAGGCAAGCTTGGGATATACAATTTAAAAACCAGATTATTTGTTGCTTTGAACATTCAGCATGGTATGCCTGGAGATTTGGTGAAACAGTTTCCCCATTGCTCCCTCTCCTCCCCGTGTAATGCGGCCGTATCCAACGCAGACTTTATATTCCACGGTAAACTCTACAGTTTGCCTTGTAATATGTAGTTGGTCCACAGTGGTAACATCCAGGATACATTCTATATTTGTGTGTGTGGTTGTTTTGTTAATGAAAAGAAAAAAAGTTGTTTGATGGACTTTGTGGAGATTAGATATCATTGATGGAAGTTATAAAATCTATCATATAGACCTTGATAAACCTACTTTCTGGATATGTCTGCAAAAGACGCGGTGCACGATATCCATGATAAAAAGCACACGGCTTCTTTAGGCATGGTGGGAGAGTGTACATACATGCACCCCATTGCTTACTTTTAAGTTACCATTATCTACCAAACAGACACAGAAGTGTAAGCTCTTAAGGTGCAGTTAATGAGACAGGACATGTTGCTCTGGGAGTTGAACGGTGCTTGGCATATGCTTTGTGCGAACTTTACCGAAGTAAGGGGTTCGAGGTAAAAGAACAGAGTTGGCGGATTCTTTTAAATGAAAAAAAATATATATTTCTCTTTACAAAATGATAGAACAGGGGAGGAATTCTTTACATGGGTTCAGAGAGGTTCTCTTCACTATGCTGTGCTTGATTTTTCCTTTTCACCTGCCTGCGGCCAGTCTTAAAATGAGGGTATGGAATGGAGGAGAGTTTTCCATGAGATTGTCCTGGGGTGGGGGTAAAAGGCAGGCCAGTGGGAGAAGAGGTAGGGCTTCTGGCACTGCTCACAGAGGAGTATCCAGAACTGTTTTCTGCTCCTGGTTTCAAACAGTGTTCGTCGGTGTTGGGTTTGGACAGGATTGGGAGCGAATGAAGGATGATAGACGTGTCCTCATCACTAGATTCTTGGCAGTGCTGGTCTATGTGAAAGAGCGAGAGGTCCAAAATTCCACTAGGTCCTGTGACTGTAAACCAGAGTAGAAACATATACATGAAGTTACATTGGAATCACATATACAATGTAAAGCAAGCACAGAAAACTAAAACAAAACCGATGAGGGAGGTGCAGTGAACAGCATTTTCAGGAAAGATCAAGTCTACCAGCAAGTTATTTTCTGGAATTTATTTCTAGAATGAGAAAGGGGATTGGGTGGGAGAGAGGATATTACCAGTTACTATATGTGCATGTATAACAGTCTGGTCTTTAAAAGGGTGGTTTTAAGCACAGTAATCACAACAATGTTGGTTTAAAGAGCCCCTTGTGTGTCATGCCACTTTATTTCCTAAAGAATTTAGTCCTTTAACCCCTTAAGGACACATGACATGTATGACATGTCATGATTCCCTTTTATAACAGAAGTTTGGTCCTTAAAGCGGCACTGTCATGCCAAACTTACCTTTCCTCAATCTCTTCCTCTTCTCCCCCTCTCTCAGGATCTGTTATTCTTTTCTTCCTGTCTTCTTTAGTTTTCTTTTAAATCATAAGACAAAGTAGGGACTCTTTGCCTTATGGAGGATTCCTCCGCTTGACCAGCTCTGACCAGCGGAGGAGCAAAGTGTGCTTCATTTCAGCTGGTCAGAGCAATTTTCCCATAATTCTTACCTTTCCTCTGTGTTCCCACGATGCTTCCTGTCATTTTAGACGAAACTGCTGAATTGCATTCTAACTGAACGAGAACAGTATGTTCGTTTGTTTTAGAACGCAATTCGGCACTTTATTCAGATCGGAATTTCATTCATCTACCCACACAAAGATGGCTGCACCCTGAATAAAGATCAGGGCAGAAAATAAAGAATAAAAAATAGGTAATGTGGGGGGCTTAGGGGCATACTAGGGTGTCAGTTAGAGATAGTGGTGGCCGGAGGGGGGTTAAAAAAAACTAACAAAAAAAAACAGGATTCGGCATGACAGTGCTGCTTTAAGGGGTTAAGGGTCCTATTCCAAAATGGAAAGTGCCAGATCTTGATAAATAACATGCTTATGCAAGGTCTTAAATACCAGTTAAAGGTTTATTTACTAAACAGAGGAGTTGAAAGATTTGAAGACCTTTGTTTTCTTTTCCTGCTCAACAGGTTTGGCTTAATTTTTTTTTTTTTGTAGTTTGTCAACTTGTCTATTCATAGTTCAATGCGTTAAGGCTTGAATAAGCAACATCGAGAGCTGCACTGGCATGAGGTACATCGTAGACTGGTGCAGAAATTGTCTCTATTTTATAAATAATGCCACTTCTTGGCTTATCGTGAATTCAACACCTTGAAAGGTTGAAAAATTATTTGTTATAAATGAAACTACAGTAAAGATGGACCCTCACCATCTCCTTCCCTCTCGCCCTCACTTTCCCGGTCACCTTCATAGCCAGAACACGATGAATCGAGACTCCAGTCCAAGAAGTTCCCCAGGAGTGTTTCTTCTTGATTTGACAGCTCAGCCGTGGGAGTGGTCACGAAGCTCCCCCGATCTTCCTGTATGCTGTCTTCTCTACGTCTGTGGACAGCCAAGCATTACTACAACCGTATGCAAGGTTTCTCTGAACCCAACCCACTCCTTATAGCAATAGCCAATACCAGAGTTAAATACATAAACTAACTTGCAGCCCATCAACTACATGTCCCACAATGCAAGACTGGCCCTGAATTATAATAGGAGAAATAGTCAGTCTGCTGGTATACCGTCCTTCCATTAATGATAAAGAATCCCATATCTACCAGGAGATGGAACACTCCAAGCACCATAACCACTACAGCCTGCTCTAATGGTTATGCAGACAGTCAGGGCAGCACTCGGCTAATGAGCAGACATATAATGGATATTTTCAAGCTCAATGAAGACATGATGACAGCGTGGGCACCTGGGGGACCTAGATAAGCCATTAACCCATACTAGAACCATTACAAAGTTTACTCTAAGAAGGTGCCAGGGTACTCCTTGCACTATAACCAGTACGGCAGACTGTGGTGGTTATGATGGTTGGAGTGTTCCTTTAAGTGTCACCCTTCAGCTCAACACCCACAATAAAATGCATTAAATTCTAGCCAGCCTCATGGAAATCTTTTCATGCGGATTACACAGAAGGATAAGTCTGTAAATATTATCTCATAATTAGTTATCTAATAGGGCAGTAAATGAATCATTATTTAGGAGCAGATGGTCTTCCCTGCTGGATTCAGACAGATAACAGCTAAAACGTATTAATGCTTTGCACATGAGCTGAGTTTAAGGGTCCCCAAGATGCCAAGACAGCCCAAGTGGCGAGCATGATGACTAAAGTAGTTACCATTAATCTGCAGGACAAACGCTAGGCATCACTGTTCTGCTTAATGCAGGGTACACAAACATAGCTTTACCTCTTTGTTTTATTCCCAGAAGGCGAGCACAGGAAGGGATGGACGTCAGCCATGCTAGGAGAAGACACGAGGGGCTCTGTGTCCAGGAGCGGGGCTCCGAGCAGCATACACAGCTGGCTATGATCCATCACCTGCGACAACAGCAAGCAGACTGTTACCTGAGCCAAGCACCCACTCCCAGAAGAGTAATCAGCAGCCAGGGCTTCAGCACCTGCCAAACATACAGCCCGTGAGGGCCCAGCAAGCACGTTACAGAACCTTTACAAAAGACAGCGAGTGGACAAGGCTGGACTGACTCAATGGCAATAGATTGGTATTTGTTACAAGGCAATTATATTTGTACACTTATGTTTTTTGTTTAATTAGCTGATCAAAACACCTACGAGTTATTCCTTTAGTAGCTCAAAAGGTTAAAATGTGTATAGTTTATGGTGGAGCGCTTAGTAATAAAATAGATTGCTTAAAAATCCTTTAAAATTTGTGTAAATATGTACGGCTGGACTGACTAACTGGCGGATTATTTATCAAAGTGTTCCAAAAAGGGATTGTTAAATTAAGTAATTTTGATCAGATTTATATATATATATAAAAAAAATAAATAAAAAAAAAGGGGGGTGGGGAGAGGAGGAATACAAAAACTGAACGGTTTCCCGTTTTCAGATGATTGTTAAATTTACTGTGGTTGGAAATTATCACCACCTTATCCTTTAGTCACAAACAAAACAAAAGTGAAAATTTGATGCAAGAATATGATGTCAAATCTCTTGCAGTCTGCCTAGAAAAATTACACGGTCATTGCTCTCAAAATTAGCCATCAAAGCAAGTTGTAGTAGTCAGATTGATATAGATTTTCAGCTACTGCATCGTAACACCCCTAAACTACAGCACATAAAGCAGTTTAAAAAGATAGGAGGAATGAAATGCATTTTAAGCCATTGGAAGCCAAATTATTCCCCAAAGTAAGTCGACCATATAAGTTTGGCTTACCTTTGCTTTGCTAATCTGGTCATAAAGGTCATCCTGAAAGCGCTGTTTGACGGCTGTC